TCCTTGGACCAGTAGTCCTGACAATGTCACATCCTTGTCTTCAGTTCAACTTTTAGTTTGACTTGTTGTCCATATATTTTCACAATGTTCATGTTTTCACAGGCAAAAATTCCTTGTTCAGAGAATAATATCTCCCAGTGGACACAGATGAGGAGGTCAAATCAGGTTAGTTCTGGCCATGCCCAGCACAGTGTCCAGGAATGACTAAGATTTGCTTCTGGCGTGAGCGCTTCATACTAAATTAAACGATACAGTCATCAAGAGAAGGAAGGGAGTCACTGCTTCTCTGTATGGACAGATGACTTTCAGAAGAGTAGAAGACAGTCCCCACTATCCACGAAACTAAACTCTTGCCTTCTTCATGAGCAAGAGCCTCCAGAGATCCAAACTGTGATTGAACCATGTGTTGACTCCTAGTGATCTTGAAAGATATATCAATCCTAGGGGTTCACCATTTTCACCTTCCTTGCCTGTGCCTTTATCCTCTAGTTCTAAATATTTCAGATGGCATCACTGTGGCAGTGGGAGGAATAAGGTTTTGGGACACGTGCCCAGGGACACTGATTAATCATCAGGGATGTGGCTGTACAAACAGTGCCGTGGTTTCTCCAGGGCCACCTGTTCCCAGGTAGCTCGAGAGACCAGGGGATATTAGATAATAATATGTTATTATCTGCTGGTAATACTTGAGGTAAGATCTGCATCATAATTGAAATGGGATTTGGACCATTTCTATGATTTCTATTTCAACGAATGTTACCTTTAACAAAACCACTGAACTAATTTCTTTCTAAAAATTAAAATGAATTATTTTAAACCTGCAGTGATATTAATGTTAAATGTAAAATTGCAGCCTAGTGAAAACTCAGCCTTATATACTGTAAATATTGTTTAATAAAAAGAGAAATGAGTACTGTTTAATCCCATGTTAGTCATTACATAGATTTTAGGAGTTTATCACTGTGGTCTCAGAATTTCTCAAAAACACAAATTCAGACTCAGGAGACTTTGTAGGTTAATTTTGTTTAACACTTCTATTAGAAAAATTAAATATGTTACACACAGTTTTAATTGAAACATAGGAGAAAGGACCAAGCCCAAAGGTATTTCACGAGGCCATATTTTCCCTGACAGTCTAACCAGGGGGAAAAAAGTAAAAAGTAAAAAGTCATACTCCTCATCGGTGATTCTGGCAGCCCAGCGTGGAGCTGAACTTGAACCCTATCACTCAGCAATGAGACTGAAAGACATGGTACAAGGCAGAGGGAGTCTGCACTCCTGCGCCCCCTGCAGGTGGCTGTGGGAACCAGTGAGAGCTGAGCCTTGACCAGCACCTGCATTAACAGCTCTGAATAAGGGGTGGGAGGCAGGGGAGTTGGTGCTGCAGGTGGCCCCTCCCCTCTCTGGTGTCAGCGAGGCAAAGGGCCCAGTGGGGAGATGAGCACCCACCCCCACCGGGCACAGCAGCTCCCCTCAGCCTTGTGCTTCCCTCCTTGAGGTCAGCAGAGCCAACAAGTGGATTGCCTTACACGCTCAACCTCAATGAGAATCAGCTGGTGGCAATCACTGCCCTACAGTCCTAAGGAGGTGGCAGCTTCAGGAAGACCAAGGGGGTCCAACTTGCTGGACCCCTGGGTACTGAAGGTCCAATTCCCCTGGTCCCTGTGCTACACCTCAGCAGGAGGATCGCCGAACGCAAGGAAGATTAAAAATGACCCAGAGTCCATAATATAATATCCAAAATGCACAGCACACAGAGAAAAAATCACTCCTCATACAAAGTACCAAGAACATCCCAATTTAAATAAGAAAAGCGATCAACAGATACCAACACTGAGATACTGAAATTCTCTGTATAACATGTGACACACAATCAAAGCAGGGATCAGAAAATCACCTTGATGAAGAATTAAGGGCACGCTGGAAACAGATGAGGTGGATAAAATCCCAGAAATAAAATATAAATTAGAAATAAAGTCCAAAGGGAAATCACAGAACTAAAACGACAGTTGGTGGATTATACATATCACTAGATGGGCTGGTTGACACTTAGATTGAATCTCCGGTATTGAGGAGGATTCTTAATGCACGTGGAGAAAAAGTCCTGAAGAGGGTTAGCAAAGAGAGAGAAGCAAAGAGTCTGCTGTTACCTGACAAATCAAGTGGAAGATTAATAAAATTTCAATGTATTCAAAAGAAGGGGGGCTTTTGCTCTAATTTCCACTACTGTACATTTCTCCTGATGTCACCAGGGGGCGCTGTGGATCCACAGGAGGTGAGCAAGGACTGCAGCAAATTCAGACTGGATGGCCCTGAAGGCCGGCTCATTGGCCTGAGTTAGTTTTCAGCAGGTGCTTCCTCCCAAGGGACCGACTCAGAGCTCACAGGCACCCAGCCCTACTGACAATGGAACTTGTCCTGGGCCGAGGACACAGAGTAGTTGGGAGTGGGAATCTAAAGGGCTCAGATTTGCATCAAGTGTGACCCCAACAGAAATCCTTGCCTCAGGGAACTGAGGGAGATGAAAGAGACATCAGAGTGTCCAGTGTCAGCTGGGGCCAGAGTGTCCCTGAAACGCCTGCACCATGGCCTGGATGCCTCTCTTCCTCCTTGTCCTCACTCACTGCCCGGGTTCATGGTCATCTCAGAGACCCGACTTTGGAGGGAGCCCTGTGCCTTCCTTCCTGATTCCTGACATGTGCCTGTTTTCATTTCATGGTCCAGATCTCAGGCTGTGGTGACTCAGGAACCTCCCTGACCGTGTCCCCAGGAGGAACAGTCATTCTCACCTGTGGCCCCAGCACTGGAACAGTCACCAATGATCAGTATCCAGAAATTGAGATAAGTCCCCACAACGCTGATTTAGGACCTAAACATGAGAAATGCATGGACCCCAGCCCAGTTCTCGGGCTCCATCCTCGGGGATAAAGCTGCCCTGACCCTCTCGGGGGCCCAGCCAGAGGGCGAGGCTGAGGACTACTGAGGGCTAGTGTACAGTGGTGCTGAGCAAGTGGCAGATTCAAGTCAGGAAGCAGCATATCAACCTGCCCTGGGCCCAGCCTGGTCTATAGGTTGAAGGTCACACGATCAGGTGCCTCCCCTCTCCAGGCAGTCCCAGTGAGAGATAGGTGACGGAAGGACTCCCCACTGATTCTTAGCCCCTTAGAGCCCTGCAGTGGAGGCAATCACAGAGAATCACTTGGGAGGAGCTGTTCCAGTTTAACCAGAGCCCACTGCTTTTATAATACACAAGGAAGAGCGAGAACTGGACCAGCTGACCAGGCAGAAGTCAAACGTTTTTCCTCCAGAAGGGATGTCCCAACGATGGGCTTTGCGAGGTAAGAATCAAGAAAAAAACACCTCGATTTTGTGTATCACTAAAGTACAGTTTTTCATCATATTTCATTTTTAATCGATATAATCTCATTGAATTAAATTTAGGAAATATGGATATTACAGTTTCTTTAGAAACTTTACTTCTCATTCAGTGAAATGTTAACAAGCCTGCTCCGAAATGTGTCCTCACTGCCTAACGTACATCCTACTCCCAGAAAAGTGTTTTTGAGACACCTGCTACTTAAATGAAAGATCCAGGACTCTGGAAATTTTTACAGACAATCAGATTCCCAGGCCCAGAAGTGGAAGGTGTGACAGCACACCTGTGATCAGGATGCCCCTCGTGGGGTTTCACTGGGCAGGACCAGTCCCATGATACAACTCTCATGACTAAATAATATGAATAAATAAACAAATAAGTGTTTTAGTGAGAACTTTATAGGCTGCTATACACCTGAGAACAGGAGGTGTTTCTTTAGCACTGCTTTTCCAGCCATATCCCTTACCACAATTTCCATCAACGTTCTCTTTGCAGTAAGCACAGATTTTTTTTTAAAATACACTTCTGATTGTACTTTCATCTTCAGAATGACATTGTCAGTTATTTTTCCAATCTATTTTATAGAGGTGGATTTTATGGAAAACGACATACATCCTATTTAAGTGGGTAGGTAGTGATTAGTATATGAACTCTTTTAATCAATTTCTATCAGAGCAAATTGAAAATTTATGTCATTTCATCCTAGAACATTCTGCACATGTTTCCTTATTAGACTTAGGTAAATTTCAGAAACAATGTCATTTAGCCACAGCCCCTGCAGACGTGTCACTGGGAGCCTAGGGACAGACCCCTAGGTGGGAATCTCCGCTCCCAGGACCTGGAGAACTTGTTGAGCGGGAGGAAATACAGACGACAAAGACTTACACAGCATCGCCCACGGGGGACGCACGGGAGGGCGACCTCCCCACCCCCTCCCAGCCCCAGAGAGAAGAGTTCCTGCCCCTCATGGCGGTGGGCGATTCGCTGGTCAGAGAGCTCTGTGCCCCTGGGAGAGGGACACACAATGACTGAATCTGAATCTTGCACTGAAGGGGACATGCCTCCGTGGGGATGGTCACTGCTGTAGAGTTGATCCTGATCCGAGAGGACTTTGTATGAGACACGACTCCAGTTCTGACCACTTAACAGCCAAGGTAGCCGGGGACAGTCACCCTGAGGAGTCCCAGTGAAGCCTAAAGTTGCTCTGAAGTGATGCGGAGGCCACATAAGGGGATGCAGGTCCTGGCCCTATGCAAGGGCAGTGAACAGATTAGCGGGGAGGCAGGAGTTATTTCCGATGAACTCTGGTCAAGTCACACCATGGTGTGTCTGTACTTGAACAGCAGGGGGCACATGGGGCCTGTTTCTGAAGGTCTGGGAGTTAATAGAGCTGGGACCAGCCACCTGGCACTGCCCGGTGCCCTCTGCTCAGGCCTCACAGCTGTGACCTCAACAACCACCAGGGCCTACAGTCCTGCCCCTGCCCACCCCCTAACTCCCTCAGGCAGAGGGGCCTGACCCAGGGCCCAGTGAGGGATCACAAAGCTGGGGGTCTCATTTGCATGAGTGGACCCTCCCTCTGTCAGAGCTTGAAGAAGGGAGGGAGAGACTTGGGGGAAGCTCTGCTTCAGCTGTGGGGACACAGAGGACAGGACGCGGTGATCATCTCCACCATGGCCTGGTCCCCTCTCCTCCTCACCCTCCTCGCTTACTGCACAGGTGACTGGATAAGGGGACAGGAGAGGGGATCCTGGGAGGCCAAACAGGAGCCTGCTCCCTCCTCTTGTCTCGAGACCCAGCATTACCATCTCCGTGTCTCTCCCTCTTCCAGGCTCCTGGGCCCAGTCTGTGCTGACCCAGCCGTCCTCCGTGTCTGGGGCCCCGGGACAGAGTGTCACCATCTCCTGCACTGGAAGCAGCTCCAACATCGGGGGTAGATATGTGAGCTGGTACCAACAGCTCCCGGGAACGGCCCCCAAAACTCTCATCTATGATAATAACCAACGACCCTCAGGGGTCCCCAACCGATTCTCTGGCTCCAAGTCTGGCACCTCAGCCGCCCTGACCATCAGTGGGCTCCAGGCTGCAGATGAAGCCGATTATTACTGCTCAGCATGGGACAATAGTCTCAATACTCGCACAGTGCTCCAGGCCTGTGGGGAAGTGAGACAAGAACCTGCTGTTTCCTGTGCAGTGGGGCTTCCCTGAGCCGACCCCACTGCTCTGACCAGACAGCCGCCTTCTTTGTGAGTTTGACTTAAAGTGAGGTCTGAGACCCACCCCAGGGAACTTTGTCTAGAGAATGTGTCCACATCCTTTGAATTCTATCCCAAGTCATTCCTTGTTGGCAACAGATTGAGTAATTTTCTCAAGTTGAGCAATTTCTGGATACCAAGGGTTAGTTACTGTAGGAACAGATTCTGCGACAGGTTAGGGCACAACTAGGTGCACAGAATCCAGCCACATCTGAATCAGGACACATCACTCACGTCCGGTATGGGACCCGGTAGCAAGTGCTGCCAGGAACAGGCCCCTAATCCCGCATTTATCATTATAGGAGTCAACCTTCAGCGTCCTGTCCGATTACCTGGCCCAGATCTGTCACCTTGGGCTCTTTAAGCATCACTGGGCTGAGGCCTTAGGACGATGCTGATACTCAGTGCACCTCTGTGACAGCAGCCTCGGTGTTCACACAGAGCTCCAGGCCTGTGGAGAACTGAGACCAGAACCGCTTTATCATCTGCCAGGAGTGGGAACGCCCAGGAGCGCCTGCTCAGGCTGCGCCTGTGGCTTCTGCTCCTTGGGATTCTGCTGCCGCATCCATGGGCCCAGGTTCGACCAGGGTCAGCGCCTGGGAGTGAAGGCTCCTCATCTCCCTTGTGTCCTCAAAGTCACTCACTGCAGCAAAGGGTCTCAAAGGAGACAAAGGCCAGCTCCCCATCAGCTGGTGATACCAAGTCTCTGCGTTGATGCTCAGGGGCTGAGGTGGGGTTCTAGCCATGGCCATCTCAGAGCTGAACTGTGACTGTGGAATCCTGCATCTTCATCATTCATCATTTACTTATTTCAAGAAGTTTCCAGAGCTAAGTCGCCCTCTCATGAGTCCTCAGTGTGTGAATGCCTGTTCTCTGCTCACGGGGAGGTGTCTTCTGTCCCTGCTGCACTGGCCCCAGAATGTCTCAGGCTGCAGCATCCATTTGGGGCTTTGGGAATGAGTGCATGTCCATGCCCATCGATGCAAATATTTAACTGTCCATTTCTTCTTGTTCAATTGCGTTGTTTGACACTCCTGGATAGATGGTGAATAATAATGAGTTAATGTCACACTGACCTACTCCTGGTCTCCATGGAAATGTCCTCCTCCCTGCCCCATTAGCTCATGTGCTGGCTGTAGGACTAAGTCATGTGCACCTGAGAGACATAAATGTGCCTCTCTGTTTCTGTATGTTTGTTTTTATTAGGAATTTCTTTTAAATTTGGTCAAAGACTCCCTCAGGATCTATCAAAATCATATAATTCAACTTGATATGATGATCTATTGATCTATTGATATGATGTGTTACATTAAGGTTGCTAAATATGGAGCCCAACATGTATGCCTGGAATAAATCACAGCGGTAATGCTGCATCCACTTAGTAATCTGATACTGACATGTCTGTTAATATTTTATTTAGAACATTTGCATCAATATTTTTTACTACTGGTTTATAATTTCTTTTTAATATGTTTTATTATGATATATAGGTATTTTTGTTATATCTACATTCAAGAAGATTTGGGAAATTTTTCATTTTTCTCAATATTAAAATTTCTATATACGTGCACAAATAAAATGAAAATATTTGAAGGCTCTAAAGATTTATGTCTCTGTGAAATTAACGGTATCTTATTTTTTTTGGCATGTGGAATAGTTTTAT